CACCCTCCTAACCCTTCCTGTCTGCTTCTCACTCTTTTCCCTCCCTCCCTCGTCTCTCCTTCCCTCTTTCCTCATTCCTATTTTTCTTTTAAACCTGGCTCTCCTGCGGTTCCCGAATGATCTTTTTGGCGCCTGTTCATCCTCTCTTTCAAATCTGATTAGAAGTAGTTTGAAGTCTGCTTGAGTTCCAACAGATCCTCAGACTCCGTTTTAAAGAAAGGTTATGCAGGGTTTGGCAGGCTTGATTAGACTCCTGGAGCATGAGCTGCTTCTGAAACAGTAGTAACAGTAGTAAAGTGGATAGATTTTAACCAACCGGACTTCTTGTGAAAACTGTGATGAATTTACTGGTTGCACATTTTGCACTATTTGTCCATATAGTACACAATAATAGAAGGGATTTATTTATAATCGCACTATCCGTTGCACCCAGGTGAGGATGGGTTCCCTTTTTGAGCCTGGTTCCTCTCAAGGTTTCTCCCTCATATTATCTCAGGGAGTTTTTCCTTGCCATCGTCGCCTCTGGCTTGCTCATTAGGGATAAACTCACATATTTACAATACGTTTTTTGAATCCATTTATTTCTGTAAAGCTGCTTTGTGACAATGTCCATTGTTAAAAGCGCTATACAAATAGAATTGAATTGAATTGAATAGTAACAGTTGTCTTTCCTCTCTCTTCGTTCCTACTTGCTCTTACCTTTCTTTCATCCCATCGTCGCCTCCCTAAACAGTTGTCAGGAAAAGCTTGAGCAGAAGTGGTTAATATTGTGTGCATGAAATTCAGATATACGGTTATTTGACAATTAGTACCAAAACACACATGTAAATCAATAACAGAATATTTTGGAATGGCCCAGTCCTGACCTTAAACCAATTCAGATGTTGCTCCATTACCTGAGGACTACTACAAATGCAATAAATACCAGAAATATTGATGAATCGAAACAGTTTTGTTGGAAGGGATTGTTTCCTCACTGTTGTACAAGACTCATCAGCAGCTACAGAAAACGTTGAGTGGAAGGTTATTGATGCCAGTTATTAACTAGGCTTCACATAGCTGTTGCCAGGCTGGATTGTGAATAATTAATGAATGTGTTCAATAAAGCCATGAAAAGTACAATTGTCTTATAAGTTTAGACAGAATGTGTTTGTGGATTTGGATTTGGATTCCTGCAGAAATCCAGGTAATTACAAAGGGTTTACACACACACACACACACACACACACACACACAGGCAGGCTTGCCATCCACTTTATTAGGAACGTCATTACACCTGTTCATTCATGCAATTATCGAATCAGCTAATCATGTGGCAGCAGTGCAATGCATAAAATCATGCAGATACAGGTCAAGAGCTTCAGTTAATGTCCACATCAAACATCAAACTGCTGATCTTCATGCTGGGATTGTCATGCACAACAGTTACTAGAAAAAAAGCTTCCACTGAGTGGCAGTCCTGCCAGTGGAAACACATTATTGATGAGAGTGGTCAGAAGAGAAAAGCCAGACTGGTTAGAGGAAAGAACAAGAAAACTATGGTAACTCAAATAACCACTTTTTACAACCGTGGTGAGCAGAAAAGCATCACAGAACACATTGAACATTGAGGTGGATGGGCTACAACAACAGAAGACCACATGGGGTTCCACTCCTATCAGCCGTGAACAGGAATCTGGAATCATGAACAGGTTACAGCTCCGGATAAAGATTGGAAAATGAAAGATTCAAGATTGGAAAAATATCACCTGGTCTTTTCTCAAACTTAAACTGGATGACAGAAGTGGAACCCCTTGTGGTCTTCTACTTCTGTAGCCATCTGCCTCAAGGTTCGATGCGTTGTGCATTCTGAGATGCTTTTCTGCTCACCGTGGTTGTAAAAAGTAGTTATCTGAGTTACTGTAGCCTTCCTGTCAGCTTGAACCAGTCTGGCTATTATCCTCTGACCTCTCTCATCAACAAGGTGTTATTAGCTATTTGGGTGACCTACCTAACGACTCACCCTTTCAAATTAGACATGTTTATTAGCTTTACATATAATGAATATACTGATACGAAACTTGTGTATCGTATCAGTAATGTGTCTTGGAGGCGTAGAGGCACATGCTTTCACAAAATGCTTTCACCCATCCAGTGGAAATCCAAAATATCAATATAATTCCACTGTCAATTCCTAATCAGATATGTGAGGCCTTCTGTCCAGCTCAGGGTGTGATCTTGGCTGTCTCTAACTACACAGAAGATAATGTAGAAGATAAAATCCTTACTGAATAATTTTCCTTTTGGCATTTCAAGGTTTTTAAAAATAAACAAACGAAACATCTACATCTAGTTCCCAAAAATCTTTGGGCCTTTTCTGTAAAGCCTCTGACCGCATTATTGATTAAATATGCTTTCATCCAATATCAGTTCATTGCTACACCAAAAACATTTTCAGTAAATGCATATTGTACATTATCATTATAACAGTATTAATACCTTGTTTGACTGGCTGCTTTATGATTGTTCCGTAGTACTGGGAATTGTCCATGCCCTTGTGCTTCTCTGTGTGATTGTATTCAATTGATTTTTTTAAAACTTGTTTCCAACTATTCCATTTCAATTTTATTTGTATAGCACTTTGAACAGTAGATATTGTAACAGCACAGCTTTCCAACAGTCCTGATTCATGTGTAGATCTCTAATTAACAAGCCAGAGGAGACAGTAGTGAGGAAAAACTCCCTGAGAGGACATTATGAAAAAAAAACCTTGAGAGGAAATGGACTGAAAACAGAACCCATCCTCTTCTGGATGACACCGGATAATGGGATTATAAATCATTGTATACTATAAAGCCAAACAGTACTAGGTGTGTTGAAAGGATATTCAGTCAGTATATGTATCATAGTCTTTACAGCTGGAGTTCAACAAACCTGAGTGATTCCAGGCGAGGACTACCGAAACTGTCTACGTCCGTGAACCCCCAGATCTGCACCTTTACCTAAGAGAAAAGCTATTTAACAAAATGTGTGACTGAAAAACCTAAAGACTGTCTCAAAGACTGAGGCTTGTTTCTGGTCATTTGGAATTCTTGTATCACTACTGGCTTAACAGCCATATGCTTGAATTATTTTCTTCTTATCCAAAAGTCTCCCAAATGAGCTACTGTAAATGTCATAGTATTATTTTGTATATGTATGTAGTTTATGTACAGTGTGCTCGCATGAACAATATAGTGGCACTTCATTTTTCAGAGTAAGTTTAATGATGGTTAGAAAAGGGAGCCACATGCTTTTAGACTTCATTTGATTCCTCCTGATATGCACTGAGAGCATTTCTGCTCCCCATGAAGCACAAAGTGTGCTGGAAATAATGGGTAAAATGGAGATTATCTGAGCTAACAGCTAATGCAAGTTATGTGTTTTGGGAACGGAAATATTTTCCAGAGGTCCTGCAATGCGGTTATGCCTGAGCATTTCCGGCAACGGTAAAGCCTGGATCTCACACCTCACACACCTTCAGCTTGTAAGAGAGGAGACAGGGTAGATCTAAATAAAGACAGAAGGAGGGGAAAACCAGTCAAGAAGGGGGGAAAAAAGAATAGAGTAGTGGAAAGAGGAAAGGTGGAGAAGAAAGATAAATGGAAAGCAGAGCCGAGGGAGAACGGAGAGCAGGAGACAGGAGTCATCGTTTTTCATTTCAGGGATTGGAATGGATTCTCAAGATCTGAAAATCAAAGCAGATGGGTTTGGCAAACAGCAGGCTACTTTAAGAATTACAGAGAGAGACAGAGAGAGAGAGATAGAGAGAGAGAGAGAGAGAGAGAGAGAGAGAGAGAGAGAGAGAGATTGTTGAGAGTGAGCTGCTCTGTCCAGTTAATAAAATGAAAACATGTTCTGCGTTTTTAGGTTATTTTTTTCGGTGTAAAAACAATTTGGTGTGGTGTACCACCGTGTAATAAATTTCAATTCCAGACACATCAGAATACTGTGTGTGAATGTGTTTCTGCATTCAGGCATTCAGTAATGTTCTTTATCCAGCCCTGCTGCACATGAATATGGGCATAGGCAAAGAGGCTCAAAGGTCAAGGACATCCTGGGCAGCAGGCAGACGGGGAGACTGAGCGCTGTGTGTTTGTGTGTGTCCTCTCCCAATGGATCCACATCAGAGTAGCATTTCTCTCCCTTTCTCTTTTTCTCTCTCCTTCTCTCTCCCTCCTCCCCCTCTCTCATTAAAACTCTGTGCCTTGGCTTCTAATTAAATCCCACTTGAAAGTCTTAAAAGTCAGACTCAGATTGATTCAATTTGCATTTTTGAACAGGCAACATTGCCTGAAAGGATTAATAAATTGGTTGAAAAAAAAAGAGGCTTTGCAGCAGTGAACTGTTGGTTCGTTTAAGAGGCAACACCTTCCCTATAAATGTGTGACACTTATACACACTCTCACACATATGCGCACACACAAACACACACACACACACACACACACACACACACACACACACACACACACGTGTGCAGGGACAGTTTCTCTATCCCTCTTCACTACACATGCACACATGAATTATGAAATCATGCATGGTCATATTATTTTTTTTCCCCACTTCATGGTGTATATGATCATATAGTGCAAGCTGAGACTCCAGCATGCTAAGCTATAACAGCTTAACCTAAGAAAGAGCCTGAATATAGCACACACTTGAAGGCGCTGTGAGACATCAGCATCCTGATGCTTTAAACCTGGGTGGTCACGTAAGAAGGGTTACATTTCAGTTTAAAGCATCCAAAGCATCAAATTGATCCATGTAGAAAAAACGATCAAGAATCCAATGCCAATTCATTATCTGCAGAGATTGAGAGAGTGAGTGATGTTTTCAGGCAAAATGGCTTAAAAACATTTACTTTTCACTTTTGAATACCGGAGTACATTTAAAAGTAGCATTTTTGGCTTGATATTTTTGACACATTATGTATACTTTTACTTAAGTATAAGTACTAACTATTTCTTCTACCCTGTGGGTCCCTGAAGGACTAGTGGTTAGGCCACAGCGCTCTTACGGCTGTGGCCCGGGCTCAATTCCTGGCCAGGGAACCAACCTGGGCCACAGCCGTAAGAGGTTGCGTGCAACAGTGTGCTCTCAGTGCCGGTCCCAAGCCTGAATAAAACTGGGGAGGGTTGTGTCAGGAAGGGCATCCAGCATAAAACTGTGCTGAATCAAATAAGCGGACCAGTGATCCACTGTGGCAACCCCTAACGGGAGGAGCCGAAAGAGGAATAACAACTTTTTCTACCCTGTGCAAAGGCCTAACTAAACATGTAAACATCTCAGTCACAGATTAGTCTTAGGGTACGAGTTTTGGGGTGGTGGTGTTGAGAAGAGAGTGAAGAGAAGAGAGACATACTCTGGGACTGGACCGTTTGTAGCTTAAAGGTCATTCGAAATATTTCGTAATCAGTCAATGTAGTGTTGATAAAACGGTGCTAATATGGTCAATTGTTCTTGCTGTAGTGTTTTCTGGACTAAATGGAAATGTTTAGATTTTACTATGACATTACAGTAGTCTTACCTAGAGGTGATGAAGACATGAACTAGATTCTTGCATGTCAAGATTGTATTAAATTCAATTTTAAAATTATTTGTATAAGGCAAAACTGAAAAACTCCTTGACACAACATGAGGAAGAAACCAGTCTCAGAAGGAATCCATCACCTTCTGGCTGATGCTGGATAATGATGATATGAATCATTAGAGTACACAGATGTAAAGGGAAAAGGCAAACAGTGCTAAGTGTGTTGAAAGGATGTTCAGTATGTTCATTATTGTGAATAAGAGTCTTAATATGAGCATAGGACTGTCTTTCTGATAACAGCAGCTTTTAGCTGAAGCCAAAAGGTGAATATTACACATAAACAACCTTTCTGAAGTTTGGCATATTCATGTAAGACTGTCCATTAAGACTGTTGGACTCGAGTCTGGTCTCGAGACGTTTTCTTTATGGACTTGGACTTCTCTCAGACTTATTGGCCTTTGTACTTGGACTTGTCTCAGTCTCACATCAACCAAGAGTTTGTAAAAAACAATGTTTGTGTTTTTTTCTTTTTTCAAAGAAGTAGAAGTAAGTTTAACAGGAAGTAATTCTTTATCCTTGAAAATATAGCTTAATCATTAGCGCAATGCATGAATGAAGCCACCTAGTTGAAGTAAAGGCTTGGCCTCAAAAAGGATTTGAAGGTTGTTGGGTTTTTTGTCTCGATCTTGACTCTTGTCTGGCTTTCATATGAACATCGAGCTTGACTTGGCCTTGGCCCTCTTAATACTCAGTCTTGCCTCAATCTTGGCTAGTCCTGGTCTTGGATTCATCTTGGACTTGACAATGGTGATCTTGACTACAGCACTACTGTCCATATCAACAGCAGCAGGAGGTGAGTCTCAAGTGCAGAAAGCTCCAACTGGAAGGCAACAGGAGGAACAGAGCAGGAGATGAGCATCAGGATGAATCAGGAAGGTCCAGAGAGGAGCAAGAGGAGCAACAGCAGAAGTGTGTCATGATCTGGCACCAAAATCACACTGGGCAGGAGAAGTGCAATCACAGCTTCACACACACACACACTCAAAGAGAGAGAGAAAGACAGGGAGAGAGAGAGATTGTATAGTGGCTTATAAGGATGTACATTTTGATCAGAGTGCAAGCAGGGACTTCAACAGGTCTAGCTATGATAGCATAAGTCTCCATGTCCATGATTCCCTAGATCTGCACCTTTACCTAAAAGAACAACTATTTAATAAAACACCGGACTAACAAAAAGAGGGTGGCATGCTGGTAGGTAGGTAGGTATTGGCTAGGTTAGGGGGCACACACACAGGCACAGGCACACACACACACACACACACACACACACACACACACACACACACACACACACACACATTATTTATTCATTTAAACCCCCTTTAAAAACCTTTTATCTGTTGATAAAAGCTTCTGCTGTCTGCCAGTTTACATCACACAACCTGCATAACCGGCGACCATTTTGTGCTCTGATTAGGTGAATTGTATGAATTTTATTCTATCTGCACACACACTGCTAGTGTGCAGAGTCGAGGCTCACCGTAAACAGCACTTATATGTTTTTAGTGCTGGAGCACACAGCTTTGAATGCAAGCTGACAGCTGTTATTACTTTCAAAACTGGCTGAAACCTCACTAAGACCTTACTGGCTGACGCTCATCATCTGCATATGTTATGTTATGTTAAAAGTTTGACATTTTTAACGTAGTCACCCATCCAATTAATCTTTTCTGACTCCTGCCTTGGAGAGAATAACAGCACTGTGTCTCTCGATCTTCACAAGGGCCCCTGAACCACCAGCCATAAGTCAAGTCAAGTTTAATTTAAAACAAAGCAAATGACCAAAAAAGCACAAATAAAATAACCCAAGTTAATAAATAAAAGTTAATAATAATAATAATAATAATAATAACAATAATAATAATAATAGATAAAAATTTTTTTAAAAAAAGCTAATAAATATTTGCAGGAAACTGCATACCACTGCATCACAATACACCACACATCTTACAGATAGGCATAGATCATAGAGAACATATAGGTGTTTAAACAGGACTTAAATGTGCTGAGATTTGTGAAAGATCTGACTGAGATTATTATTATATTACATATAAACCGATCAGCCATAACATTAAAACCACCTGCCTAATATTGTGTAGGTCCCCCTTGTGGCAGCTCTGATCCGTTGAGGCATGGACTCCACAAGACCTCTGAAGGTGTGCTGTGGTATCTGGCACCAAGATGTTAGCAGCAGATACTTTAAGTCCTGTAAGTTGCGAGATGGGGCCTCCATGGGACTTGTTTGTTGTTTAAGAGTATAATTTACACTGATCAGCCATAACATTATGACCACCTACCTAATATTGTGCTGGTTCCCCTTTTGCTTCCAACACAGCCCTGACCCGTCGAGGCATGGACTCCACTAGATCCCTGAAGGTGTGCTGTGGTATCTGGCACAAAGACATTAACAGCAGATCCTTTAAGTCCTGTAAGTTGCGATGTGGGGCCCTCAGGGAGCAGACTTGATGGCCAGCACACCCCACAGATTTTTGGGGAATTTGGAGGCCAAGTCAACACCTGGAACTCTTTGTCATCTTCCTCAAACCATTCCTGAACAATTTTTGCAGTGTGGCAGGACGCATTATCCTGCTAAAAGAGGCCACTGCCGTTAAGGAATACCGTTGACATGAAGGGACGTACATGGTGTGCAACAATGTTTAGGTAAGTAACATCCACATGAATGCCAGGACCCAAGGTTTCCCAGAAGAATATTGCCCAGGGAATCACACTGCCTCTGCCAGCTAGCCTTCTTCCCATAGTGCATCCTGGTTCCATCTCTTCCCCAGGTAAGCAACGCACACACACACCTGGTCCTTCACATGATGTAAAAGAAAACATGATTAATCAAACCAGGTCACCTTCTTCCATTGCTCCATGGTCCAGTTCTGATGCTCACGTGCCCATTGTAGGTGCTTTCGATGGAGGACAGTAGCTCTTCTGTGGGATCGGACCAGACAGGCTAACCTTCGCTTTCCACGCGCATCAATGAGCCTTGGGCACCCAGGACCCTGTCGCTGGTTCACCAGTTGTCCTTCCTTGGACTGCATACCAGGAACACCCCACAACACCTGCCATTTTGGAGATGCTCTGACCCAGTCGTATAGCCATCGCAAATGGCCCTTGTCAAAGTCACTCAGATTCTTACGCTTATCCATTTTTCCTGCTTCCAACGCATCAACTTCGAGAACTGAAAGTTCATTTGCTGCCTAACATATCTCATCCCATGACATTGTAACAAAATAATCAATGTTATTAACTTCACCCCAAAGCATTTATGACAAACTGCCATATTTTACACTGAGGTGTTAGATGATTTTCATTGTATGCAATCCCCTTTTCTCACTAAATACGCTGATGTTATGCACCAAAAAGACACTTGAAGAAGTTTAGGTGCTGCGTTTGGTAAGATGCTCTTAGGAAGGACTTCTTTCATGCAATACTTCCAAACAATGCTTCCAAACAGCTAGTTGGTGTTTAATGGTTGAATGTGAAACTTGACAACTACAAGAATCAACTAAACTGTGCAGTTCTAAAACTGTGTTATTTAGGCTCATCATATTTGGGCTCATCCTCCTCATTGGGTGGGGGGACATCGTGCTCATAGAGCCAGTTCTTGGCTCTTGCAGGCCTCTACTTGAGCTCAATGGCATCTTTAAAAGCTTAATTACCTGATTTGTGCAGCCCAACAACCATCTGTCTTTATTTTGGTTGTAGTTCTTTGATTTTACCCATGATAATGGAAAACAAAGGTTTTTTTTTAACGTGTGCAACCTCATATTTATACCTCAGGAAAACAGGACCTGGTTAAAGGCAACAGCATTCTCTCATGAGAATGAGAATATTCACCAAAGAGAATATTTTTGCTAGAATAAAGTTAACTAGTTTCTTAGATTGTTTGGGTGGATTTGATTTATAGCGTCTAATGTTTATTTATACAATCATTTTTTTAATGAAAGTTGCCAATAATTCTGGAAGGCAGCAATCAGCCTGCCTAAAGATTTTTTAATTGATAACTTGCTAGCTTAGTCTTCTTTCCACACAGAGTGAATGTTATGCTTTGATCAGGTTATTGGTGAGGTGCCATACTGAAACCAAGCCTAACAGATTCAGTTTGGAAATGGTCTAAATACCAGCTGTGAAATGATCTGCGATACACATGTGCCGTGGATTGACTATAGAGGAGGCAAGGGACAGAGTTGTAGTGTTTAAACACTACTAAAAAATGAGAAATGTAGCCCTCAGAACAAAACCCACTGACTTAATCAGCGATTATTTCAGCACTGATGTAAGAGCAAACAGATCAGTCGAGTAAAGAGCGGTGATAGAGACTCCTGTCCGTCAAATGCCATGACTGACATTTACCTCAGGAAATGATACTAGAGAAACCAAAGTGAATGATGCTTATGATCAAAGTGATTACTTGTTTTCCATCATAGATTTATAATCTTTGATAAAGTGCCA